TAGATGTACATACAAGAATTTTGATTTTAAGAAAGGAAGCGCAAACCAAGATTTAATAACAATTTAAAACGTACCCTTACAAATTCTTAAGTGCATATATAATTAAATTTTGCCATTCTACATATTTCTCATATAAATATTGTGTCACGTAAACGTTCGGTATGGATGGAAAGACGAACTAAGTTAAACAGCTTTGATTATTCTATCATAGATCGGATTCAAATTCTCTGTGTCTTTCTGTAGGTTGATCGTGTTATTAAATTTTTTTTAAAAAAAACATTTCAGCAATCTCTCTTTTCCTAGTGTTTGTTTCTCGATGTAAAATATTTAAGTTTGTCCATTTAAAGTCATGCGAAAAATCATTTCTATGTTTGCTTATAACATTTTGATTGCTGACATGCATTTTTATATTATTCATATGTCTTTAATCCGAGTATTAAGGTGTCTTTTAGTTTGTCCGATGTATGTGGCGTCACAGTCATTGCAGTCAACTTTATAAACTATCTCGGTCATATCGGCTTTAGGTAATTTGTCTTTTCGGGTTTAATAAACGTATCAAGTTTTTTTGGAATCGTATAAATAACACTTAAGCCTGTTTTCTTAATAGATCTCTCAATAGTCTCACTTAGGTTCTTAACATACGGCATTAAAATACAAGACGAAATATCAAATACATTTTTTTGTCAACTACGTTATGAGAATTTTCTAAAAACATGTTCTTTATACATATATCGCTCGATGACCGTCCTAGGGAAACAATTATTCAACAAGATTTTTTTAACCATCTGTAAGTTCTCATTATGAAATCGTTTATCCGATAACAAAATAGCGTGGTCGACTAAGTTATTAATCGTGTTAACTTTGTATTTAAACGGTTATGGTTGATTGTATTAGTATATCTACCAGAGAAGTGGGTTTCTGGTACCAACTAGTCAATAGTTTACCATTGTTTCTAAAAACCAATGTATCCAGAAAGTTAATCTTGTTATTTATCTCTGTTTCATGTGTAAATTGCAAACGGTGATGGTATTTATTAAACGTAGTCAAAATGTTATCCATTTTATTGCGTGGTACTATTGCAAAAATATCATCAACGTACCTATAATAAACTGAAATGTCAAATTGTAAAGAGCTTAAACATTCTGTCTCAAGATCCCATAACTAAGTCTGCTAAAATAGGTGAAAGGGGGATCCCATTGGCGTACCATGTATCTGTTCATAAAATTGATCGTTGAAACGAAAACTAGTAGATTCTAATACAGCGTCGATTCCATATAAAATTGTGTCAAACTAAAATTTGTGTTACATGAAATATCCTTCCAACGTTTTTCAATAGCTTTTAAAACTAATTCCTTAGGAATGTTTGTGAATAAAGAAGTGACGTCAAGAGAAATTAACATTTCATTATCTTCAATACTCAATTCTTGATTTTATTCGCGAACGTCCAACCGTCTTTAATATGTGAGATAGGTTTCGTAATTGATCGTTCCAATATATCATGTAAAAAACGTGCTATACTGTACACCGGGCTCCCAAGTGACGAAACAATTATACGTAAAGGCGCGTTAACTTTGTGAATTTTCGGTAGACCGTAACATCGAGGAAGGTTCCCATTTGTGGTATTAAGTCGTTTATATGTCATTTCATCAATCAATTTATTATCTCGCCATGATTTGATTAAAGAATTGATTCTACCCGAAACTTTCTTGAGCGGATCTTTTTTCAGTTTAGTATATGTACCTTGATCACTTAGTGAAACATTCATTTTGTCTATATAATCTTTTTTGTCCATAATAACTGTAGTTTGACCCTTATCGGCTGTCGTAACTAAAATGTCATCGTTATCACGTAGATAACTATGACATTGTTTAGAGTTGTTTATAATGTATCTATCTATGTAGCTAGTGTGTTTCTTTTTGCTAAGAAATCCATATGCCGCTTTAGTTACCTCGTTTCTTGTCGATTCAACAAGAGCATTAGGAATCTTAGTGCAATTAATTTCTAGGTTCTTAGCTATATCGATAACAATGTTAGTGCGGTCATTCTTATAATTCTGTGAGACAGGCAACCCGAATTTATCACCTAAGCTTAAAAAATCTAGAATGTTCTCTGGAATAATTTTATTGCTCAAATTTACTATCCATTTCGATCTGTCAATTTTACTAAAGGGGTTAAGTGAAACATTATTATTACGTATTAAATTATTGAACTTTTAATCGCGTTATCCTTTTTTGTTTTATTAAAAATAAATAATTTATGTTAATTAAGTTCAAAAATCTGTTAATTAAAGTACGTGGAAGTAAGTCAAACATCCTTTTTTCGATGTTATAAAGTTTGGAATGTAAGAACTTTATGTTATAATTTAAATCTTTAATTTCTAAGTTCAACAATCTAATTCGAGTTCGTCTAGAAAAATAATCAAATTTTTGGTTTACGCTATTACTGTAGAAAAAGATGTTCAATTTCAATTTCTTGATGTGTGGTGGAAGTAAATCCAATCTTCTGCATCGAAGCAGGAAAATTAGTTGATGTTTCGATGTAAATAACTTCTTCTTGATATCAATCCATGATTTCAGCAACAATGTGTGGTTAAAACCATAATGATCAGAGATTGTTTGAAAAAAACCACCTCTCCGTGTAAGCACCATCATTCGGTCAATGTGCAGTAAAAATTAATAGTAGATATCTTGTATCGCCAGTGATGAATAAAATTAAAAATAAATGTGAGACGACCCAACTGGCTGTGTGCAATGACTGTGACGCCACATACATCGGACAAACTAAAAGACACCTTAATACTCGGATTAAAGAACATATGAATAATATAAAATGCATGTCAGCAATCAAAATGTTATAAGCAAACATAGAAATGATTTTTCGCATGACTTTAAATGGACAAACTTAAATATTTTACATCGAGAAACAAACACTAGGAAAAGAGAGATTGCTGAAATGTTTTTTATAAAAAAATTTAATAACACGATCAACCTACAGAAAGACACAGAGAATTTGAATCCGATCTATGATAGAATAATCAAAGCTGTTTAACTTAGTTCGTCTTTACCATCCATACCGAACGTTTACGTGACACAATATTTATATTGAAATATGTAAAATGGAACAAAATTAATTATATATTGCACTTAAGAATTTGTAAGGTACGTTTAAATTGTTATTATAATCTTGGTTTGCGCTTTACTTTCTTAAAAATCAAAATTCTTGTATGTACATCTATTGTATTTTTTAATGTTAATTTTAGACTTGATAAGGACCTAAACCTAAGGTCGAAACGTTGTCTTGTCTTGTACATGGCATCAAACTAATAATAATAAGAATTAATTTAAGCCAGTTGGGTCGTCTCACATTTATTTTTAATTTTATTCATCACTGGCGATACAAGATATCTACTATTAAATATATTTTTATATATAAAAAAATGTTATTTAAAAAACTTGGTGCTAAATTAAACAGCGCTATAAACAAAATTATACTAAATTACGATAAAATTAATGAAATCACCAGTGAAGAGTAAACCATACAAATTTATTGAAATTTCGACCTAACTGGCCAGTGCAATTTAATTAGAAACTTAATTAGAATATTTGATGAGAACGTGGGTTAAAACACAGGAAAGGATTGGCATTTGCAACCAACAATTGATTTTCTTACTCAAATGCAGAAGATACGACGTACTTCCAACACATATATACAGGTCATATACGAATGTGTCTTTTTTCAACGCTAAAGTCAACCGTTTTTTGTAAATTTCGCTAAACGAAATCGGTCACGAATCTTGAATTTAGAAATTAGGGATCTTAATTTCATCTTGATCTCTCTGAAATCCAAGGTCAGGGATATAGAGAATAAATTGAATAACATGGTACCGAGGAGGGCTCCTGGTTAGTTTCTTTAATCGAACAACAACAAGCTTGAAAAATTAAGACTCAAAAAGAAAAATTGTTTAATTCGAAAGTTTGAGTATTTATTACGGTCTCAAAATTTAAACATACACTTTTTCAATAGATCAGACAAATCGAAATGGCTAATGAATATCAGTAGCAAGAACATTCCGAAAGCGGTTTCTGATTTTTTAAGCTTGGGTGAAAATTTGGACTTCCGATAAGTCAATGTGATCAGAGCGACAGGTTGGATTTGACACTCAATATAATGAAGAATGTTGAATCCAATATACATAAGATACCTGAAGGTTTAAGGGAATCAGCGCGTACTTCGGTGACTAGCTCCGTACATAAATTCCTTAATAAACAAAAGCACATCAACGGTATTGACAGATTTTTCTTGAGCAGCTTTTCAAAATGCAAAAAATTTTTAAAAGAAAATGAGGACTTGCTTATCACCAAAGCGGACAAAGAACAAGTTACCGTCATTATGGATTAAGTATAACGACACAATGACAGAATTACTAAATGACACAACGACTTACAAAAAACTACAAAAAGACCCTGCCAATCGTATGAAAACTAAGGTGAATGAATTGGTTAAGGGATGGCACGACATGGGTATTGTTGACGAGATGACATACAATCGTCTAAAGAGTACTTGTGGAAATCTTCCAAGGTGTTACGGATTACCAAAAGTACACAAGAAGGGCTATCCTTTACGCATTATTGTCTCTTCTGTAGGTAGCCCCACGTATAATGTAGCGCAATATCTACGGGAAATTTTGTCCATTTCGATTCCTAAGCCTAAATCGTATGTAAAGGATAGTTGGACGTTTGTTGAAGCTATTAGACACACGAAGATTAATGACGATCAGTTTTTATTTTCTTTGGATGTTACATCATTGTTTACGAACATCCCTAAGAATTTAGCTTTAACAGCGGTGGAAAAGAGATGGACGTATATTACGAAAAATACCGATTTGACGTTGCCCCAGTTTTTACATGCACTTTCGGTTGTCCTTGATCTAACGAGCTTCGAATTTGGTGGAAAATACTACGAAAAAATTTTTGGCTGTCCGATGGGGTCACCCTTATCACCAATATTGGCTGACTTGGTCATGGACGAGCTTGAAACACAGTGTTTAAGCAAGTTAAACTGCATACCGGTCTTTTACAGATACGTTGACGACATTTTTGCAATAGCACCAAAAACCAAAATCGATGAGATATTAACGATTTTTAATAGTTACCACGAACGCCTAATGTTCACGCATGAGGCTGAAATCAACGGTTTTGTGAATTTCCTGGACGTTACTATTGTAAGGGCGGAGGGGACATTGTTGACCAATTGGTACAGAAAACTCACTTTTTCTGGCAGGTATATTAATTTCCTATCTAACCATCCCCTTCAGTACAAAATCAACACGATTAGAAGTTTGGTTGACAGAGCTCTATTACTTTCAAACGAATGCTTTCACACTGATAACATCAGAATTATTACGGATATTTTGGTCAACAATTGCTTTCCGAAACCTTTCATTGAACTACATATCGCGAAGAGAATTAAAGCTCTAAAACACCGTAGAGAATTTTTGATGGTTAATGACAATGGAGGTAAAAAGTTTAATACGGGATCATTGTTACCGATACTGTATGTAAAAAGCTTGAGCGAAAATCTTAGGAACGTGTTAAAAAAATGTGGCATCAATTGTTTATACTATCCCGAAAAAATTAAATAGGTTAATTTGGAGAGGAAAAGGTAGGATCAACCATATGAAAAAGACTGACGTTGTGTATTTAATAGAATGTAACGATTGCAACGCAACATATACAGGACAAACAAAAAGACAATTAGCTACACGCGTAAACAAACATTTTAAAAATATTAAACAACACCATAGTAATCATAACGTAATTAGCAAACATCGAACAAAATATGACCATGAATTTAAATGGACAAAACCTAAGATTTTGCATTGCGAGAAACACAGAAAGAAGAGAGAATTAGCGGAGATGTTTTTTATTAAAAAATATAAGAATAACATCAATTTACAAAGAGACACAGAAAATCTAAATCCTATTTATGATAAGTTGATCCACAGTATATGACTGTCTATTTATTTATTTATTTATTTATGTCGTTGTATTGTCGAACTTTGATATTATTGTGTTTTTAAACGTTTGACTTAAATTGATTTATTTGTCTCCGTTAACATTAGTAATTTTACTGCTGTCGAATTAACATCTAGATAGGTACATTACATTATTGTATATTATTTTTAATTTTCTTTGTTAACAACTTTGTAATTTATTGTTTCATATCCTAATCATTGTATATTTTATTGTGCAGTTACACTTGAAAAGGACCCGTACCTAAGGGTCGAAACGTAGTGTTTCTAATTAAATTGCACTGGCCAGTTAGGTCGAAATTTCAATAAATTTGTAAAATTATACTAAAGTTAATTTCGAAATTTAGCAGCGCCAATTTTTTTTTAACTAAAATTTTTTCCAATATTATTAATAGCAGTCACTAGTGTTTAAAAAGGAGTTGTAGAAATTAATCGACCAAACTAGCGAGTAAATGATTTATTCAGCTTCACGACGTTTCGACCATGTGATTGCGGTCCTTATCAAGTGAAATCTGAAGATTAGAATCTGATGATCCTTCGACGGGTTATGATGTTTAATGTTTCGCTTTGCTTTATTGATTGACTTACATAGTTTTAAGAAATGTGACTGACAAAATTTATATAATTGTTTGGTATTCAATAAACTATTTTACGCGTATCGCCCGGTCAATCTACCCGCTCGAATTCGGGTACCCGCATATATATATGTCGGGTCCTTCGCCGTTGCCTTCGGGGGCTTCCGTTGCCGATCGCGACCCATCGTACGCGGTCCCCGCTAATACGAATCAGAATCGTCTCAGAGACAACGAGAGACACACGTGCGGCCGACATAGCCGGCTATTGTATACCATTATACGCTGTATTTCAATTAAGCATTTATACTTTGTATCTCGAGTGCGGTCACTACTTTCTGAGTTTTTCAATAAATATAAGCAAGTGAGAGAGAAACATTCTCGGTCGTATATTCGTGAAGCACTTATTCCACGACAACATACGACGGGCACACGCCCGATAATTCAACTTACGTACATACCGTACAATAATAATGTGTTAACTTTAATTGAATTTTTTTTGTTTCACTTGATAAGGACCACAATCACATGGTCGAAACGTCGTGAAGCTGAATAAATTATTTACTCGCTAGTTTGGTCGATTAATTTCTATAACTTCTAAAATTTTTTATTTAAATATTCCGATTAAAAAATTAATTTAATAAAAGAATAGATTTTATAGGATAAACTTATTCATTTGTCGCAATTTTTAGTATTATTTTTTTGGTAAATATTTAATTATTTTGTACAGTAAGAATATATTATATAAAATTAAAATGTCATTTTTAAAGCAGTTTTTTACAATAATTTAAAAACAAATTTTTAACTGTTTTTTTTATACAGTTTTTTACGTGGGCGTATAAACTTGTCTTTTTTATACTTTTTTTTAAAAAAGGTAAAAGTGCTCTAAAAATTGTCATTTTAATTTTAAACAATATATTTTTACTATACAAAATGATTAAATATTTACCAAAAAAATTATATCAAAAAATTGCGACAAATAAATAAAAATTTATCTTATAAAATCTTTTATAATTATTTTATTAAATTAATTTTTTTAATAAACTATAAAGAAATATTTTAACCAAACAAAATTTTATGGATATGTAATAACTTCGCGAAAAAAATTGTACAAACATTTTTTTAAAAAAGTGATGGCAAATTTTACCAATTTTTTGGACCTTGAATTTCAAATTTTTTCATAGTAAATAGTACTATTAGATGAAACATTAATCCCAGTAAAATTTCAAGATGAGCATAGGCACGGTTCCGGAGATACAAGGGGGAAAATGATGATTTTTAATCAGTTGTATGAGAAATTATCACTTTCACTTTTTCATATCTAAGGAACCGTGCCTATGCTCATCTTAAAGTTTCTCTGAGATTAATATCTCATCATATAGTACTATTTGGCATAAAAAAGTTTTAAATTTGAAATCCCAAAATTCAACCTTAATGGGCAAAAATACAGGTCTTTTTTGCCATCACTCTTTATATGATAATCATAAAAAGTATACTACATTCATATCACTTGTCATAATCACTTGTCACCCCTAGTTTCTATGCACGCTTTGCCATGCGTTAGCGCGCTGCAAACGCGTGCATTCGTAGTATATCGCGTTGTTTTGTTGAATTTAACTAATTTCAGTGGAATTTGGCATGTCATAACGCACGCGTTTGATGTGCGCTAACACATGCATGGAAACTAGGAGTTATTTGTCATGTTTCAGTGCGCGAAATTTTAACTCCATAATTTGTCAAATATAATTGCTCTTTTCCTTTAAAAACTATTATAGCCTCGACATTTTTTGCATTTAATTTTTGTCTTGAAATGTTTTAAGAAATCTGCTATTAAGGGAAAGTACAGTAGTTGTATGACATCCTATAAATACTTCCAAATAATAATATTTTCCATCAAAATTCGATAGCGTGTTTGACCTGTACACGCGCAATTTGCTGTTATTCATTGCGAAAGATAAAGGCGTTTGCTGCCGATAAAGGGGTTGAAAACGAGCAACTGATACAACATAACGAGAGATATTTTATAAATTAATCAACTTACCTCTCTCTTTTAAACTTTCACAGTTGATTTGAGATGTTGAAATTAATAACGAATTATTTCTCTTGCTAGAACAATAAACGTATAGCAAATATAAATAGAAAAATATAGTTCTTTCTCGCAAACGTACGTTTACTTTTTTTAATTGATAGTTTCGCCGTCGCTTAACTAACTTCACCGTCTACAAATACAAATGAATTGTAGAGATTAACAAACGTTTTATGACAACGAGCGACGACAATAAAAGTACTGTGAAAATGCATCATGCGGTGAGAATTAAATATTATTGGCAGTATTTATAGACAGGAAATGAGAAAGAAAAAAGGAAAGAGAATATTAATGTTTCCGCAGTATAAATTATTCAGTGAATGGCAAATATATTTATGCGAAATATTCACGAAATATTCAACTGACAGTTACCTGATTTGGTTATTTCAATATGTATTTTAATTTAACAGGTATTTATGTACATCCTATTATATTTTTGGTTTTTTTTGCATCGATTATTTACTGATAATTTTATTGCTTGTATTGTATTACTGAAATTTATAACGTAATTTTTGTAGCCTGAAGAGGACCTAATTGATTTGGTCGAAACGTCGTTTCTTTTTTAATAAAAGATTTTTAACTTTGCCGGTGTTGGTCAATTAATTCCTTTCTAATTTGGTTTTCAAAATTCAACTGGCAATCAGGTCACTTTTTTTGTTAATCATTAAACTCGTGAATATTTCGCATAAATATATTTGCCATTCACTTCGAAATTTCGACCAAATCAATTAGGTCCTCTTCAGGCTACAAAAATTACGTTATAAATTTCAGTAATACAATACAAGCAATAAAATTATCAGTAAATAATCGATGCAAAAAAACCAAAAATATAATAGGATGTACATAAATACCTGTTAAATTAAAATACATATTGAAATAACCAAATCAGGTAACTGTCAGTTGAATATTTCGTGAATATTTCGCATAAATATATTTGCCATTCACTGAATAATTTATATTGCGGAAACATTAATATTCTCAATAAAATGTCGACGGCAATCGGAGCCTGTGCGGATGACATGCACAAAATTAATAAATTAAAATGAGATCTCAAATCAAACTCATTTATTAAATTCTAAACGTTTCGACCCACTTCGGGTCTTCTTCAGTAGCTGCAAAATACAAAGAAACAAAAATAAAAGATAATCGGTACAATCAGAAAATTATAAAACTCGTATACATACAATCCGCAAATAAATTAAATATCATTCTCCTCCCTATTCAAACCGTCCGGCCGTCGGAGTGTCTCCCTAACGGTGACCATCGTCAGGAAGGAAGCAGAGCAGTGACTCCCTTACCAACACTAATCAACATAGTATAAATTAAACGTAGAAAAATCCACAAGAATTAAAAATTAAAAACCGGGAAGAACACTCACCCCGACAGCAAAAACAGAGAGAAGACGATGCTACACGTGACACATCACTCTAACGACTGTGCGGTATTCTACCTCGACACAGTCGATACATATATACGCAAAAAACAAATATAAAAATAAAATATGAAAATAAAAATAAAAACAACTAAAACTTATCGGCACTCATGTCAAAGGTCTAACAAAAAAACCCGCTATGTATAATCACAAAGCTAGATTTTGGTAAATTTTTCTATTAACAGATCAAAATTCTCGTTTAATTTATCAGTGTCGCTATGTAAATTTAAACTATTCCTCTGACGTTTTATGTGGATCATTTCGGATATCAAACGTTTACCTAAAAAAGGCTCCTCGTCTAAGACTTTTACATCCTCCCAATTAAATTCATGGTTCAATAATCTATGTTCCGATATGACTGATAATTGTGACGCGTTTCTTTTTATGTTGTTGCGATGTTCTTTCATCCTAGTTTTCAACAATCTACCCGTCTGCCCTACGTACGACGCATCACAATCCATACAATCAATTTTATAAACTACATTGTTATGGAGTTCCCTTGGTAACTTATCCTTGTGTA